CTTTCAATTTAGGCCCTGAAACAGAGAGGTGCTTTGTAATGCCTCAGTAATTAGAAAGCGAATAAAGACCTGAGATTCAAGCGCTCTCCTGCATTACATCACCACTATCAGTTGAAGTAACGCAGAACTAATCAACCCAGGGAGCCATCAACACTTCACTCCGGACATCATTCAATGCTGATATGTATAGGCATGCTTGTTTCACTCTGGGAGAACACTGATAAACAACGCTAGTACCTAAAGGGTCCTTTTGGTTTTTGGTTTATGTATCTTCAACTGCTCTGACATCCCAAGAATTACAACGCAGTTCAAGTAAAAGCATCAATGTTAAAATGTTGCAGCAAAATTTAAGCTTATTCGCTTTAGATTACCCTTATTGTATTTAACACAAAATCAAGTTAATGGGTCATTGATTGCGCCTGGTGGCAAGAAAACCTCTAATAAATTACTGCTTTCCCTTCTTCATTGGTTTAATTTCCCCAGTGACCTTTTCGTTTGCACCGTGCAGGGTTCATGTCAACGCAAAATCTCCACAAAGAAACATTCCAGCTCTCAATTAATTACTTTTTGGCTGTGAGCAAGACAAAAATAAATGACAAGCATCTACTTACAAAACAGTACTCAAGTACCTTCATTTCCCCAAACTGTTATTTATGAAATTTACAATTGACCTTATTAGCACACACGTCATTTAATAGACATGGAAACATGGCAGGGCTGGACAGGAACCCGTATGATGGCAATACTGTCAGAAAATGAGGCATAAATCAATGTTAAACTTATTACAGCTTTTTTACTCTGATCTCAAAAACCAGCTGCTCTAATCAACATAATAAGGGTCTGTTAATAGGTCAGGGATAAGAAGCTGACTCTTCTCTCTGCTGCTTTACATAAAGGCTTCATTTGCCTCCACAACATAACCCACTCCACACCCGTGGTAACTGCAGTGGTGGAGGCTTCTTAGAGGCTTCCAAATTTGGCAACTTCAGCATCCCTACTGAGGTGATGAAGCTGTGTGAAGGACTTTTTGTCTTTTAATGTATATGGACTTTTAATGGGAGGGGTTTGCAGTGACGGCTGAGCAGATGTTTTCTTACAGGTAGATGAGACTTCCAGCTTGAATTTGTCATTTAGTCATCAGATTACATAAAAGGCACAGCAGCTGTACATATCGGAAACTTTGTGGTTTGATGAAACCAAAAATCTGTGTTCATGGGACATAGCATATCAAATGGTAATTAAATAAACAAACACATATGATGCCGTATATATGTGCAACACCTGTGAAACTCCAGAAGGTAAAAATGGCCCAGAGGTTGAAGCCATAATTGTAGGTTACAGAAGATGACGCGTAGGATTTTGAATGCCTACATGAAAACAAACTTGTCAGTCTCTAGTTTGCAGCGTTTTATTTGCTTTTCTTTTAACCACTCTTGTGTGTGTGTGTGTGTCTTGAGTGTCACTTAGTTGACAGATGCTGCCATGGGTTATAAGAAGAACACAGTTGATAGACACAAAATGCTACGCAGTTTGTTGTGCCATTAAAACAAAAAATCTTTACAACCTTCTGAAGAGCAACTGCTGCTCAAACACAAACACACACACACACACACACACATAGCAAATGTGTTTATGTTGTTTATAAGCTTAGCATGACAGAGCTTATAAACATGATACATCACAACTTTCTCTTTGCTCTCAAAACTGTTATACATATATATAGTTTGACTACCAAACTTGCATTTGCACAATGATAATAACACACAGCTGTATACTAGTTTGAGGGATAATAAAAGTTACCTTATCTGCAGTTTAGACTGCCCTCACGAAGGGATCTAATGGAGATTTGGGTTTGTCTCTTTGCCAACTTGATAAATTGTTTGGAGGAGACCCAGAAACCCCCAGGACAACTGGAAGAGGGCATTCTCCAACCACCACAACACGGAAGTGGCATACATTCCTCTACACATACTTAGTTTTATACTTTTATCTTACAGGTGAATCACTGGCGAATCAATGACACGCATGGAGTGTGTGGGAGTTTCACCGTGCGTAACGTCAGGGCTGCTCTGCGTCTCTGCGCTCAGTGCTGCCTCTGGTGGCTGGAAGTTAAATTGAAGATGACGATGGGAGCGTGGAGTAGGCAGTAAAAGCCTGTGGCCACCAGTGGCATCGGGGTGATATGACTGTCCTGTGTCAGGAGGATACATTAACTTTGTAATTTATCCAAAAGTCCAGAAGACTCACTTGTGGGAACATTTGAATTTGATCTATAACTTTGATAAATGGACCTCAAAGCGTGCGTAAATTTGGCTATTTGGTCATAATGTTTGATTGATTTGAGTTTGATACATTTTGAAAGTCCATATGGTCGAGGGAAAAATAATTACAGGGACCATTCCCTGTGTTTTACAACACATTGTCAATTGTATTCATCTCTTACCATGGAATTTTGCCAAAACCCCGGATCCAGCATTTTGGCGCTGAATTATTAGAAAGAAAAGTTGCACCTCGATGCTGACGTGCCCAAAGGACCCACAGTGTTTCTTAGTGGCTGTCGGTGTAAATTGACTTTTTTTTTTTGGTGTCCACTTAATTTTCACCTTATCAACATGTTCAACAAGAGCTTCGCGGCTTTCACTCTCGGCGAATCTCATTAAGATGCCATTAAAACGTGTACTTTTTTTTTTAACTCGGCTCCATATGTATGCAGAACGGGATGTCTGTATCACAGGATACAGCCTCTCCGTCGTTCAGAGGTGAGTCTCTTCAGCACCTCCTCGGCGCTGCTCGTGTGCGTCCTTTAACATATCCGCGCACTCCAGCTGGAGACACAGCGCGCATCACACCACGGGCGCATCGGAGCTTTGACCAGAGCCAAGCAAGTGGCGTTTTTCTATGTAATTTACTTGTCCGACCTTTTTTTCCCCTTTCTCCTCGTATGTAATGCAGGACAGTATGGGATTATTAAAAGAGAAATTGGCAGGTTTTCCACTTCGATGCCGGTGAGACAAACTTGAGGAATATTTGAAGATGAAGATCTGCCATAAACCCTGAAATACTTTCATCCGTGCAGAAGTGGCGTATTTTGTGACTAGATTAAATCCAGTTACAGGTAAGATGATATTTTTGTTGACTTTTTGGCACAGATGCACATGTCAGTGGGTGTGCAAAGGCAACATTACCAGGTTAATGTGATTGTTCCATTCAAATTAAGTTGATCAAATCTAAATAACATGTTTTAAGCACTCACTGTACTGCAGTGTTCCCCAGTCTGCAGCGTTGCTGTTAATTAATAAAATGGTGATGTTCTTGCTTGTGTATTGAAACAAAATGTGATTTAATACCACAAAATCCTCGGTTGGCAGAGTTGCTAACAATATGAATTAAATTCCTGAATTGACCTCATTCTCACTTTATTTTTCCTTAAGCTGGATTTGCATGATTAACTATGAGTATGCATTTATTCAGCTGGAGATCCACCTTAAGCCGCTAAAAGCAAAAGTTAGAGCAGAATCCATGGCCTTGAGCAGTGAGGGAGAAAAATACCACATGGAAAAAATGAAGAATTTAAAGTAGCCACTTTATTAGAATAGTATTTCATCAGTTGTTCTGATGGCAAACCCTTTTCACCTCCTTTTGACTGTGCTGGCTCTGGGCTGTTCTTTTATAGACAGAATACCTGTTGCACAGTGTATGTGCAGTGCCTCATACAGCAAGTTCACAAGAAATATTTCTTAATAGTGACAAAATATTACTTAGACCAACAGTGATCGGTGAGTGCTTCAAGGAGGGATTATGGTTTATTTCAGTGGTCTGTTTCTGTAGGAATAATAAACCATCATATATTATGCAACACAAACAAAAGATGTTTCTACCAATGGGTTTCCAACTGTTACATTACACAAGATTCTGTCCATCCACCTGACTCAGACAATGCACATTTATGGACAAATAGGCTCTGTTTTCACTGAGCTCAAACATTTGGTCGCCTATTCACCAAAAACAAGACTCCAGGCAGTGTCCACCCTACCCTGCTGCCATGGTGAAAATGATAAACTGGCATAATAAAACCTCTTATTTTATTGGCACCAAACTAAGTTGTCAGACCATGTTTGCCTCCTGTGCATTGGCAGTGACAAGCACTTCAATCTGACTGTGGCGAGGCAATTGGCAGTACAGTGATTCCCCTCGTTCAATTACTTAGGCTGGGATTAATTTACATCCATGCCCACCCCCTAATAAATTGAGAAAATGTGTCAACAGAGAATTTAGCGTAACCTGTCGCAGCTGATCATGTGAAGGGCAAGCATTTACCCGGGGAACGTTTATGACTGTAGAGGTGTGCAGAGTGATTTCCCTTGGTAGCAGTGGCTGACCAAGTAAACACACAAGGAATTTCTCTCCTTCAGGTAGAAAGCACTGCCTAAGACCCCAAGGTGCTCCTTTCAACACATGCTATCAATCAGGTCTGCTCTCAAGAAAGAGAATTCAGATACAAAATCAATAAAATCCTCTGAGACAACGTTGGACATACAGGTGATTAGAAAAAACACATTTCTTTCAAAAGGACACAAGTAAATATACTGCTGAAAGTAAAAGCTTCTGTTCTGACTGATATTTATGACATCACAGAGATTATTTTATTGTGGCTCATCACTCATGCGCACAGTGGTGCAATGCAAAAACGCCATATGCTAGCCATTCATTACATTCAGATGAATTGCTTCAATGGACTAACATCTGTCAGCAAGTGGTCTGAATAGAGGAAGGAACAGAGTTCACAATCAATATTGATGAAGACGATGACTGTGGATCTGACTTTTCTTCTTCTGTAAAGCATAAAATCAATATCAAAATCCATATCAAGTGGAATGACTTTTTTATTCTCTGCCAACTAGACCATAACTGTCAGAACTGTAAAAATCACTGGGAAAAGCTCATTTTAATGTAAGCTTTTATGTGTGCAGGTGAGATGCCATAATCCACATGAGACAGTAAAGTATCATGGACTCCTGGATCTTCCCCTCATCCCCTCCAAACCTGTCGGAGCACCTCATGTATGATAGCTTCGTGCAGGGCAATGAGTCCGACCTCCGTGGGAACTACACAGACCACAGCTTCAACAAAACCAGCACGGTGGTCATCACCTGCCTGTACTTTCTTGTTTGCACTGTGGGGCTCTGTGGAAACGCCCTTGTCATCTATGTCATCCTGCGCTACGCCAAGATGAAGACAGTTACCAACATCTACATCCTCAACCTGGCAGTGGCAGATGTGCTCTTCATGCTGGGCCTGCCATTCATCGCCATCCAGCTGGCGCTGGTCCATTGGCCATTCGGTCCTGTGCTCTGCAGGGTGGTGATGACCGTCGACTCCCTGAACCAGTTCACATCCATCTTCTGTCTGATGGTCATGAGTATCGACCGCTACCTGGCTGTGGTGCATCCCATTAAGTCCACAAAGTGGCGCAAGCCACGCATGGCCAAGACTATAAACATAGCAGTGTGGGGGGTGTCGCTGATGGTTAACCTGCCCATCGTTATCTACAGCGGCCTCATCACGAAGCACGACGGTTGTTTCTGCACCATCGTGTGGCCTGAGCCTCAAGAGGCCTACTACACAGCGTTCATGTTCTACACTTTCATCCTGGGCTTCTTCCTGCCCCTCATGGTCATCTGCCTTTGCTACTTGTTCATCATCATTAAGGTGAAGTCCTCGGGCATCCGTGTGGGCTCGTCCAAGAGGAAGCGCTCAGAGAGGAAGGTGACTCGAATGGTGTCCATCGTGGTGGCAGTGTTTGTCTTCTGCTGGCTACCTTTCTATGTTTTCAACGTCACCTCGGTGACGGGTACCATCAGCACCACTCCCATCCTGAGAAGCACCTTTGCTTTTGTGGTCGTTCTAGGATACGCCAACAGCTGCGCCAACCCCATCCTCTACGCCTTCCTGTCTGAGAACTTCAAGAAGAGTTTCCAGAATGTTCTATGTCTTAAGAAGGTGGGTGGCCTGGATGAGGTTGATCGTAGCGACAGCCGACAGGATAAGTCTCGCATGATGAATGACCCCACAGAAACCCAAAGTACTCTGCTGAATGGTGACCTGCAGACCAGCATCTGAGGGGATGTTGATAGTACTCACTCATACGGACAGCCATCTCTCTCAAAACTAATAACAGTCAGCTCTTATCAACATCTGTAAGGTCACATTGAAGAGGGAGAGGACATGATTAAATATTAAACAATGAGTTCACAGAGGAACATGTCCCTTGTTAAGGGACAAAGCACCAACAGATATTAAATATAAAAACATGTCGAACTGCACTGTTCTTCTGTCTGCCTCTGACACATTGATGGGTTTCCCTTGCTGTAAACAAATCCATTATAACATAACCAGAAGTTCATACAACTGTTTGTTCTGTGCTGTAAATGAAAATGAAATCTGTTTGACTGTTTGCTCTCAGTGTATTGACTCTGAGGTAAGGTAAAAGGGATACAAACGCCCACTTGCAAATGGTCCCCTGGGTGACATGATTTCCCCTGGACCTAGGATTATATACATAGTTTACAGCAGAGGGCCTGTGCCAAGTTTCCATAGCCTTGTATTGTGTAATAATAACAACAGTGTGTGCTCATATGCTAAAAAACAACATACTGTTGTTGGCAACCTTATCATTCCTCAGTTTTTGTTCCTGTAGCTCCTGCAGGTAATCCTCTATGGAGAGTGCTTTGACTGTAAATAACTGTATAGAAATCGGGCAAAGAGACTGTATAGTCACAAGGTTAGGGTTATATTTTGTGTCATTTAGTTTTGAAACTCTAAATCTGACTTGTGAATAATATGATTTTTTTTTTTTCAGACACAATGTAATGAATTGTCTGTGCCATTGATTTTTGTGTTCTGCAGTTTGATTTAACGTGGAACCAACTTTATTTGTGATAGAAATGTATCAAGTGTAAATGTGAACAGTGTTCAGTCAGGGGGCAAATATTTGGTATCACTCGCTGCTTCGTTATAGCTACATTCATAATTTATATTATATTAATGGTATGGCTCGGTCGATATACAGAGCCAGCCTCTAACCAAAGTGCTGCTAAGATGTATAGAGACTTCTGCAGTGTATAGTATTATATAAATGAATATCACTATATGCCTGTTTCTACTGGACTGAATTTCTTTTGGGAACTGTTATTTGTCACAATTTATTTAACATTATTTATGTTTTTCATGTAATAATGTTACAGTTGTTACAGTAACTGCTCTATCAAAAATGCGGGACTGCACAATTCTAAATTATTCAGTGCTGAATAGTGTTAGTGTTCATTGAATGTTTTTATGTCATCTGAGAGCATAAAACCTGCTCAGATAATATTTAGCAAATTATTATTTTACACCTATTTCCTGACCAGGGCTGTATTCTGGTAGTAGTGTGATTTAAGTACGTTTATTCTAAATACATGTTTAGCTTATCGTTATTTCACTGTGTTGTATTACAGAAAACACTGTTTGGTAACTGTCTGTTGTGTCTTTTTGGTTACTCTTCTGTTTCTCTGTTTTCCTTGACTTTGTGAATATGAGGGGTTCAGCCTGTCTCAAGCTGCCTCCCTTTGCAAGCTACTTTGCAAGCTGATGCCGACCCATCCTCCTCTACTCTGTGGCATTTGGGAGGCCACATTTCAAGTGTTGTTTCTGTCTCCGGGTGTCTGAGACGTAGATTTGTGAAGGGCTAGAACACTTATCCTCAAGAGGCTCTGGTGTTCCTTTATCATCACCACTGTGCTGCTCCAAGAGTCCACAGTTCACCCCCGCAACATCCCAGTCTGTTGCCGTGAACAGATTACTATCTATATAAGTTATTAAACCTTTACCCTACATGTACAGGTCCCCTCATATACACCAAAGTGACAGACTATGACTAATGCGCAGAGAGAGTGTGTGTTGCATTGAGCGCTGTCAGCCTGTCTCTAGCAAAAATGTGAGGTAAAATATGTGTTGCCAAGTGGTATTTAAATAGATATATTCAACACATACAAACCACTCTAAGCATGTCATTTTGACTATGTGCATATAACTTCTTCATGTCAGTATTGCATGGAACACAGAAATACACACACACACACACAACACCAACACACACACACACACACACCAACACCGCACGCACACATTGAGAACCTCCAGCCATGAATAATCAAATTTCATATCCGTCCATCTCTGTCTCTGCATTATTGCGAAATTTCTTACCTGGACTGTCACAAAGACGTGACACACCTCTAGTGTCCTATATTTCCATAGCAACAGTGGCCAAGAGTGTTGGTCCCATGGTTACATTGATTAGCATAATAATAATAGAGAAATGACTCTGGACATGAATTATGAATGTAGATATAGCTCAGAAGACTGAAGCATTAAGACCACCACTCACCGAGCTGTCAAGCCAAACACCTCAGTTAGATTAAACCTGAATAAAATGTATAGTTTGTGTTAGTGTGCAGCTAAAAATATAAAACCAAAACCAAACACCTTGCTTACTGTATCCTCATAGCAGATATTAGAGAACACAACAATGATATTGGTTACTGTTAGTTAATGCCGATTTGACATGCATACAGTGTACAGTATCATCCAGCTGTTGTACTTTTTTATTAGCTACTTTTATTAGAAACATATTGCAGTTTTTTTTACTTGGTATGTGTTCCATCTGTGCTTTAGTGGTGTTTTTAGCACATCTATTTTAATTGCTCACATGCAATGTCTCATGAGCTTTGGAAAACTTTGCCACAATCGTTCAAGGTTTTACTGTTGCCATAGAAAGTTTGCATTATGTATGTTCTTCCACTTTCTGACCTGTTCGATTATACTGAAACACCGTGTGTGGTGGATAAAAACAAAGATTGTGTATAGTTGTTGTTGAAACTAAATAAAGCAAGTAATAAATTACATGCTTGTGGTGCAATATTGTGGAAATGAATTAATTAATGAAACATGTTTAAATTAATGGTAAAATGCTGTTTACAATAAATTAGGTTTGTATGTTTCATGAGTTATTTCCAAAATAATTACAAGTCAGTGCAAAATACACAAGTAAAAATGTAAACTTGTCACATGTAATCTTTTTCATTTTAATGTCTACTTCTAATTACTGTAGAAATTGTGTGCAGCATGTTACAACAAAAGTATATAAACAATTTCTAATATCAGTTACTCTCACCAAAATATATTCCTCGTCTTCCTCTCTTCCACGTTTTTAGTCTAGAATGTGTTTACACCTGCGTTGCACACTACTTCGAATGCTATTTTGTTTTTTTAGACCTAATCTGAGCTTCTTGGTTTGACCACAAAGTGGCGCTATAATCAAATGCATAACTACAGCTGCTCCAAGGCCAGAAACACAAGTTTTACTAGAAAGATTCGAGTGCACTTTAGAAGTGTCACTGTAATCAACCCTTGTAAATAACATCCTGTTTCCTTTACAGCACTTCTACCATGAGAGTAATACAGGGTGCTCAGAGCAGACGGCTTCTAACCCCACTCATGGAGTTCGGCGGGGGTCAGAGACACTACAGCACTTTAATTCTATCGTCCTAATGAAGGGAAGTGTGGATGGAAGAATGAGACAAACGACAGCACATACACATTCCAGTTTTGTTCTGAGTTTAATCACTGAAACGGATAATGAAGCTCTCCTCTTCCTTTTCGTTTCAGCTGCGTCCCTGAATGTCCTTGGGTGGCCTTAACTGCTTCATGATACATCAAAACCATAGTGCGACCATATTACAAGTCTTTGATTTTAATGTTCAGAAACCCACCGTTGCCCTCTAGCTGAGGTTCTGCAGCAGACCAAAGGATATGCATGTTTATTTTCAATTACAGAGCAGCTAAACAACCAGGGGTTGTGGTTTTTAATGTGGCATTACTTTGTGATAGGTTAGAGCCCTCATCTTATACATGAGTGAATATTTTTTATTCTGTATTTTTTTTTTTTTATACATACACAATCAGTGATATTCAAACAAAACAGACCACAACACCCTGATGTGTATGTGCATTATCTAAAGTCTGACTTGACAGCATACTGATTGAATAGAGCACTGGGTTTACTGCACTGCAGAGGCAAGACACACCACGAACCACACCGGTCTACACCAGCCACACAGTTGCCATGGAGAAGATTAACACTGATGGATTCAGAGCCAGGCTGTGGTCGCAAAGTGCCCATATACGTGCAATGTGTTTTACCCTCTATATATCTCACATGATCGTCTTCCCACCCCCCAAACTACAGAACAAAAATCATGATGGGCAGCAGGCCTTGAGGCATTACTGAGGGCAAAATTTTCACATATTACAAGATCCCAAGATTATGAGAGCCCAGTCGCATGCAGTGTTGTTAAATGGGCTTTTACTTTTTTTTTTTCTTTTTTTGCACAGAGCATTCGAGGTGTTCAATGAGGAGAGACCACAGCATTCTCGCATATTATAGGACTCTCATCTTGAGTTCATGTCACGAGTCTTCTCTTCAGAATGCCATACGAAACCCAAAGCTCACATTCAACATACAATTCATAAACAGCAAAAGGTGAGCCAATTTAATCACCACCATCATTATACCAACAATTCCACAAGAATGAAAGTATAATACGTCCAAAAAAAATTTCCAGTACCAGGACAGCGAGGGACATATGACTGTACTGAAAAAACTTAAAAAAAAAAAATAAAGACACTGAAAAGAACAGTAAACAAATTTCAATGAGTTGCTAAAAAAAAAAATAGATATTCCCTGCCCTCAACCAGACTGAAAAATAAAACAATCAACACAGTAAATAATGGAACATGAGCACACTCAGGTCCAAATCTGCTTAGTTTCCATGGCAGCACTTCCCCAGCAACTGGCAAAGGCAGCATCTCTAAGCTCTCCCATGTTTTCTTTGCTCTTAAAAAATAGATGTATACTAGATTCATACAGTATTTCATAACTAGTCACAAATGATAAGAATCATAACCATACCTTCAAAAATGTTCTTGCACAGTTCATAATACGTTGATTCTATTCTTTTTTTTGCGTTCAGTCCCATATGCATATGACAACAAACTTGTCTTCCATCATGACGAAGTTAAATGCTTGGTCAGTTGAAACGAGAGCACCATGGGAGAAAAATGGAGGGTGGGTGGATGGGTGGGTGGGGGGGGGGGCGTGGGGTCAGAATACTGTAATAAAAAAATCCAGATGTGCCCAATCAACATGACAGTCGGTCACTCTGCCCCTGCAGCAGGAAGGAGGAAGGGAGAGAGTGTGAGGGGTGTGGGGCCTCTTCCCTCTGCCCAAACCTGGAACTGACGACGCCCGACTCTTCCTCCTCCTCCTCTTCATTCAGTTTTGTCAAGTAGATGCCAAGAAGTAGCTCAGTGCTTGTCTTTTTTTTTTTTTTTTTTTTTTTTTGAAAGGTTGCATGATTTCACACGTCTTTTATTTTTTATGTTTGTCCTCTGGAGGAGCAGACTATTAAGTCAAAGAGTTTCAGGTAGGTTTGTGTGTTTGTGTTTCATCCTATCCCCAGTCCCCTGACTCTCGTATTAGAAGCAGTGGTTCTTCATGGTCAGTGGTCACAAAGACTACTCGTACTCAAGGAACTGTTTATGGTAGAATAAGAGATACCTGAGGAGGGGGAAAAAAACCAATGATTTAGATTTCATACTGTATAACATTTTTGTAGTACTGCTGATGCCTGTTTCCATTCTTACCCTTCACTATCGAGTACATCCTTAATGCTGGCCTTGGTGATTATGGCATCATCACATTTGAACCACTGGTCCTTGTGCTGGCGGATGAAGCTGGTGTAGTGGCCACTCTCTAATGTGCCTTGGTGGTTGACCACCGCAAACAAGGAATACCTGGAAATAAAAGACAATTTCTGTTTAACAATTAACTCATAAAGCCCCATTATCCTCCTCAAACATATGGTACATTTATTTATCTTAAACCCAACACAGTTGGGAAGGAGGCCTCATCAAGGAGTACCTTCCGCACCAACTCTCCTCTCTACTACAAGCAACCTGTCGATGGTATTAAGACAGTAAATTCCCTGTAAATGTCCCGGAAAATGAAAGCCATTGTAACTGTCATGGATGAAGAAAACTAAGCAGCTTTTAATAGGCTTCAAATTGATTTCATTTGGGGAAGTCACAGCCGGATGCTTCAGGTCATTAGCATGTGCTGCTGTGCTAGAGTAGAAATGTCTACTATGATGTAAGAGTGCCAGATTTTTAATAAATCAATTTGCCGTTAACAGTTTTCCAAGGCACTCACTTATTGTCGTTGTTTAATACATCAACCGTCTGTTGATACTGCCCGTTCATTCTGCTTTCTTTACTGCGGGAGACAAGAGAAAGAATACTGAGAAGTTAGCATAAATAATGCTGCATGCATGCGTAAACATACTACACTGCCAGATAAATCCACTAGGTGGCAGAATTATCCTATTTGCGAAAGCTGATCTCTTCCCTGCCTTTGCCTCTAATGATCTCTCTGTCTCTGAACAGAGCTGAATGGATGCTACAGCCAGGGGTGGGGCAACACTGCTGCTGCATGCTCTATTGACACAAGTCTATATTCATGGGGAGCATTTAATAATGGTGTTTTGGCATGAATGCAGATGTGTGCAATTACTGTGAGTACACAGTATGTATAGTGTATTATACAGTACGTGCATGTTAACATTAAAATATAATAAACCAGTTAAATGAGCAGCTAAATGTTTGCTTTTTTCTTTTAGAAAAATCTGTTTATTTCTATCTGGCTGTGAACACTGTCAGAACAAAATTCACTTTATGGGGTAGAGAAGTTAAGGGGCCGGTGGGTGAAGGCTTACCTGGATGCCATGAAGGGCGTCATGTCCAACTCTAGAGGGAAGGAAACATATGTAGTGATCTTCCTCCGCAGTTTAGCAGAGTGCTCAAACCGCTGGGGATGGCCAGAGAGGGAGGATGAGAGAGAGGAGAGAAGGGGGAAGGGGCAGAAAAATGGCACGAGAGAGAGGGGGAGGGGAGAGGACACATTTAGAAAAAAAAACAGGCGTCATCATTACAACATACAAAATACAACACAGCTAGTGAAAAGTGAAAATGCATGTTTTCCACCCTGGCTGTCACACATTTACAGAGATAATAACAGGCTTAGATTGATCTTAGACAATCTTCTTTGCAGCCTGTTCCTATGAATATCATAAATACATTATGGGCTTCAAATACTGTTATGATGAATAAAACATGGACAGTACAGGACTGTACAAGTCTTTAAAATCATAGGTGTCCTGGGACACTGTGAAAGGGGCTACACAGCAGGAGGTAATGCACCAACAACTGAATCGAATTATGAACGCACCTACACACATGCAATGTACCAGACAGCTAAGTCACTGCAAAATCTCAACTTTGCTTCCATCACATGGAAGGCTGCATACACACAGGGCAAAATGGATCATATATTACGGCATATAAATGTAGTGCAATAGGTAAGGATGCTGTTATAAATATAACATGAAAGTTAAACAGGATAAAAAAAACAAAAAAACAGCATCTATCGATCCACATCCCGCAGACCTTTTTACAAGACACTACTTTACCTGCTGTTTTGAAGTAACGACTGACAAAATTAAACATGTGAATGATAAAAGCTCAGTGTGCCCTTGAAGTAATCAGATTGTCAGAGAGTGACAGACAATGTAACAAGTGATAACTGGCAGCCCGTTGTCACTGGCTGACTCACTTTGAGATGGAAACATGCTACGATGGGGAGCTTCTTCATTGTCAGCTGTTTGGTGGACTCCTGGTAACTATGGCAACCGCCGCACTTGATTTTGGCACTGCTTCCTAGATGCTCGGGCCGCGTAAACCTGCAGCGAGAGGGTTGGAATTACAAGGAAGAAGAGAGGGTGTGTGTGAGAGCAGAGAACATGTGGAAACAGGAAGAGAAAACTGGGGAAAAGAGGAAGAAAACTATTAGGATTGTATTTTCATGAACTCGCTTTTTGCACCCCTGCAACACCTGGTTCTAGTTCTGCCGCTGGGGGCAAGTAGTGAATCGGAAGATGGGGGGGCTTGTGCATTCAAGTTTTCCTGCTGAGTTTTGGTGCAGCCACTCTGTATGTCAGCCCACCCAACCCAGAGCCTTGCTGGTATTGCCAACACCTCTATCGCCATGGCAACAGCCCCAACCAGTTCTGTACCTTTAAGAGACTTGCTGCAGCAACTAGGGGTGTGTGTGGAGCTGCAGTAAAAAAAAAAAAAAAAAGTCAAATGGGAAAGGAGCGATAGAAAGGGGAGATGAACGAGATGCGAGAGGTGAGAGTGCACGGGGAGAAAAGGATGTCGAATTAGGGGTGGAGAGAGAAGGAATGAAATAGATCAAGAATGAAGGGAAATAGAGAAGATGAGGAAGGGAGGAGCAGTAGGAAGGAGATAGAGATGAACACCTGCTCTGCAGACCGCTGGGTGGATGGACTGGATGAGAGATGAGCGCAGACAGGAGATGAGCAGCACCATATGGTTTGACCTTCGTACAGGGATGAATGAGAAATTTATTTGCCTGCAGGGATGGGAAGATGCGGGGTGATACCATTAATTGGAGAGGGGAGGAAAGGGATTGAGCAAAAGACAAGGGAAATAGGTAAGAAGGGACTGCTGTCTTTAAATGTGATGAACTGGATCATGGATCTTTACAGAGTTTATAACCCCAACGATCCAGTGCTGAGCTTGGTGGCAGTCGCGCAAAGAGGAGATGTAGCCAGAAAGTACTGATAATCGAAAAGGCGCCTGACCTGCTGGTTTTTTTGTGTGGTTGCAAGAATTCGCTCTATTTTAGCACTGATAAAGTTATGTGTGTGTAGCTACTGATGATGAAGATGGTGGTGTTGGTTAAGTTGGTGTAGACGGATTAGAAACAGGCGGTGGCAATGACTGTAGGGGGTCTGGTGTCAGATTGAGAGCTGGAGTGACCTGCGAAGGCGAGTCTGGGTGAGGTTGTGACGCGGACCAGGGTGGCTGTGTCGTTTGACGTGTGCTGCGCATCTCCCCGAGTGAGGGGCCCGAAAAAGGTGTGGATGGAGGCCTAGGGATAGGTCCAGGTGAGTCGCAGAAATGGGTCTATCGTGGAAACCCCACTGTGAGTGAAAGAAAAGCGAAAGAAAGAAAAACGAGATTAGAGAGAAGGGGTCAGAATACGACTGTATTAAATAAATTAGCACAGCTGGGTTGTTTGTTGAGTGTGGTTCCCTTTACAGGTCGGTGATGAAGGATGCGATGACATGACTAAATGGGCAATACGTAATGAATGCTTTAGTGACCACGTCGTTTGTAGGGATTCGGATCATGTTTTTGTTGGAGCCTCTGGAAGATTGAGTGCCATGCATGGTGCAGTGAAGTAGTCCGCCCACTGTTCTTCGCAGGTCCATTGAAATTTCAATGAATGTGTACATCGAGAAGAAATAGCTTTGTACATTTTAAGGAATTTGGTATTATAGAACGATGACTTGATGGACGCGGCCCAGGCAGAAATGAGGCTTCCAGTGTAGAATGTTAACCAACTATAGGACAAATACTGCGCAGCAAGGGATGGGTTGCGCACAGGTTTGCTGGTTGATTAAAGTGTGGTTGGTGCTGTGAGATACCCCAATGATCAAGCGGATGGCGTATTAGCAAGTGGTGCCCAACATGTATGTTTGCGTGAGAGGAAACGCACTGCATATATGGCACGCAAATGGGTACCATTGTGTTAAAAAAAGAGCTTATGAGGATTGCTTAGCAGTTTTTTTAAATCTATTACCCATATGTATCTATGTAATATGTAGTAACAGAGGAATTTGTTTAATGATTACGGAAGGAATTTAATTTACTGGCAGTGGAATGCACAAAGGACAGCAACTTTACATCAGCCGCAGTCTCCTCTCTTCGCGCTGTGGAGGCAGGTAACAATTGCGCCCCTGAGAGCTGGGGCTCGCATGCCTGCTAGGTGCTGGGGCGAGGGTGGTTTGGCAGTTCAGTGCAGCGTGGCTGGTGCTTTCATTGTGACGGACAGTCTAGGGGCAGGCAGGCAGCGTGGGTTGTGCTGGCTGTCTAAGACAACGCACCCCCCCACGCACAGCCTACCAGGCAGGTTCTCAGGGGACCGGCCTTGTAAGAATAAAGGGGTGCAGTGGAGGAGGACACAAGCGATATCACAAACCACTCTGGGTGAAAGTGGATTGGTGTCCAGTTCCATTGCAGCAAGCGTGCATAGGTGACTACGATCGGATGACCACCAAGGATAGGGGAAGAGGATGGGTAAAATTGTTAGAAGGAAGAGGGGAGGAGGGTGTACGGGGTGCTGTGAGACTCGATTAAGATGAGATGGGTCAACAAGAAAACCTCAGGTGGCACGTTCACTTTTCCAAATTTGCTTTGCTTCTTTACACATTTGAGACACACTAGAGAGACCAGCACATACTTACTGGCAACTTGATCAGGTAACATCTGATGCAGGGCCCCCAGGAGATTTGGTCAATGATGCCGTTACCAGTGGTTGGAATTGTTGGCCTTCTTTCCATTGTCATGCTCCTGCGCGACCCAAAAGAACAGAACGTATAAAAACACACATGACAGCACCGACACCTCTTTAGCACCTCTGAAGACTCTGGTCTGGGCCCCTCTTCTACTGTACCACCATCCCGCTGCAGCGGAGCCTCCCTGCCATACAACTCTCTGGATTCTTATAGCTAAATAGAAGCAAGCCTTACTGCAGGGGTGCTGGGGGGTAATCGAGCCTGTATGCAGCTTCAGCAGGGGCCTATTGGACCATTCCCTCACACTGCTTGCTTGCTGCTGTCCCCTTGTACAACACCGGATTGTCAGTCTCCTTCAGTTGTGTTTCCAGGTGAAGTAGGCTCTGTGGGTAGATCTAAGAGGAGCTCAAAGCCGGCAGGAGACAGTAGTGGCACAGTCGCCGGGCGCACGCCTCTACAATCTCAACCGACCACTCTTTGCTGTGCGTTGGTATTCAGCTGCCGACTTGAAACAAGCTGCAATGTTGCCTGACATTAAGAGGTCGAGATCGAGCAAAACCTAGAGGTAAACCCTTGAAACATACAGAGTGTTTGAAATGCTTGACAAAAGAGAATTACCGCTCATTAGCTTACTGATGGGTGTCCCTTTGCAGCCTGTGTAGTACATTCAACGCTCGCGATGAGGAACTCGGGTGGTGGTCTTTGCCGTAGCCTGCGAGGGTACGTGCATGATCCACACAGGTGCAGCAGCCGTAAACGGGGCAATGGTGGGCGGAGGGCCGATGAGGAACGGAGAGCAAGGAAGAAAGATGGGAGTGTGGTGGAAGAGTAGGGGACGCTCGGAGGCGGGGTTAGGTGCATGTAGTATGGTACCAACGTCTGGTCTTGCCCACGCTCACAGCTACATGCTCAACTGTCAGTCTATAGGATGCATTCTGAAGCATTAAAACAGAATATGTCGGTCAGGTCAAGTGGTTTTATGACCTTTGTAACTGTTAGCTACGTTCATGCAGAGGTTATGAGATGAATGCGCCACATCCGCTCAGACGTCAGCTCGGAATGACGGCGCACGCCAGAGCAGAGGGAGGAGTGTGAGGCACGACAGAAGACAAAGGGCGGAAGAAGGCAGAGGGTTGTGGAGCAAAAGCATTCCATCTGTGAAGTGTTGCAGGTCTTTGGGTTCCATGGGAATTCAAGAGTGACAATTCCAGTCAAGGGGTCAGGGATGATGTGGAAGAAAGCAACAGTGGCTGAGCGCAAGAGGTTGGCGGGTGCGAAACTATCGTACAATGAGAGTTTCAACTAGGAGCTGATTATGCCAGAGGAAGGGCTTCAGTATCTCCACACAACGGCGGCACTACGCCTCTATGTTTTATTCTAATTATTTTCTGAAATGCTGATTGGAGCGTGTAAGAGGGGAAAATCATGCCACGGCTGACGTTCGTTGAATCTAACAACACTCTTGCTTCTTTTGTCGGCAGTTGTGAAAGGTGGCTGACCAAAGAAAGACGCTACTAGAGGAGTAGGAAACGGAGGGAAAAGAGTGTGGCGTCAAAGCTGATGGCCGCGGTCCCGCGGGCGGGCCGTCGCCCCCCTTCCCAGCGCCTCTCAGCTTGGCAAGATCTATAGGAAGGATTCTGCTGTGTGCGTGCGTCCTCGCAGATTAGAAGAGCGCAGCTTGTTTGGATGACGATGTGGAGGCGGGTTAAAAAAGAACTGAGGGTAGGGATGGAAGGTAGGGAATGAAATTTGAGAAGTTGGCGACAAGAGGCGTGGAGGTAGAAAGCGGAAGATGATTCACTGTTAAGGTGTTTAAAATGTTGTTCTTGTGTGACTGAGCCCTGAGCTTTTCGGTCTTCAAACATTAGCTGGACTATTATCAATCACTGGTTGCCTTCCGGGTGATTGATAGAGGTGAGGAGTAGTATCTCCATTGCATGTGTTATGTAGCTGAACGGTTTCAGCCAACTGAGACAGGGGCAGGGCCTCTGTGTGTGGTGTGGGCGTTGCGTGTAGGAGGAGGGTGGATGATAACTCATATAGCACCACTTTCATCTGTTGGGCGCATTATATGACTGGGAAGTGAGAGTGTAAGAAAAGAAAAAAAAAAAAAAAAAGCGAGGCAGTGTGGGAGCGGACCAGGCAGAAATTGCATAACGTTCAGGGCCGATGAGTTTGTTGGATGTAAAACGCTAAACTTTCGCATCAAAGAGCCAGGATTTAAAGGCTATAAATGGCTGTGCAACATAATTTGCATTGACTGATCAGGTTCAATAAAAGGTATAATTACTGCATTCTGCTCATTCATTTGTACGTGGCTCTGTGCATTCCTTTCAAGCAGGATTTTTCCCTCCTCTCTGCCTCCCTCTTTGGACTCGACAAAAGAGCACAACAGTGACTCAGCCTTCTGCAGTGGGTTACAGAACATTCTGTATTATATGGTTGTTTAAAAAATAAAAAAAAAACTGTGAAATTATGGCTCACTTTTAATCATAAACTCTTCCTTTCTTCGTGGGATTAAACATTTAAACAAATGTAACAAGTTTACACACGCAAACCTGTGCATCATACCTCCTGAAAGAGCTGCGACATCTCACACACCAGACAGGAGTTTGATTGCATCTCGCACTTGTGTCTGTCAGAGAGAAAGAAGTCTCGCAGCAGTGGTGTGTGTGTTAGGGCCTGAACAATACAGTTCATGAAACATGTGTTGCCCAGGTTTATTAACCCTCGTAAACCTGCAGGACAAGAAGAAGAGACAAAGAATAATGTGAGAACAACATGGCAAGTGCTGTGATTCATACTGCTGGCAATGGAGGGAATTTGACCACTAAGGAACTGTTTCTATGGACTGACTTGAGTTTAAGCTGTGGTCAACTTGTTTATTAGAAAATAACAAATTTAGAGAGCATGATTGAATTGGTATATTAAAAAAATCCCACAGTAATTGACCATTTACGTCCTTTATCAAGCAAAATGTAAAATTTGTCATGTTTCTCAATTGTGATAATTCGCCTTTATCTTTGTTTTAAGTGATAGTGGACTAGATAGAAATGGGGATTAAGGCTAAACGTTTAATCAGTTATTAGGAAAAATAGACTGGCAGCTTACTTATTATAATTAATGATGTAAATATTTGGTAGTTTTGTAGCTGGTAGTACATAAATCACAATATGACCATATAGTTATGAACAAGCCAATGGCACTTTTTTTTTGTGTATGGCTGGAAAGTCAACAATATGGTGTTGGGTCAGGTCTGCCAGCAAAACCGTGTGTATCCTGGAACCGACCCCAAACCTGTGAATGGATTAATTTAGAGTGAGAAAGTAAAGCTACGGTCCTCCAGTGATGGCCAGTAGAACAGGTGAGACACAGCAAGGTCTTGGGTCTTATCCAACTGAGCAAGGTTTGGTTCTGGAAGAGAGCGCTCAGCGAGAGCTTTAACACTTCAGACTAGTCCTGGTGTGCTCACACACACAGGAACATGCAGTCTACTGCCCTAACAGGGCTACCGACCAAGCTCTTTAAAAGATATAAGAGGGGAGTGAATGCTGGCAGAGGGAAAGATAAAATCAGTACATGTACAAAATCAGAGACTAATTAGAGATTGCTGGAAAAAACCAAAGCAACAGATCACTGATAAAACAGAACAGAAATAAAGTGTGTGGGGGAGACCCAGAGACAAATTCAGGCCTGCTGTGGTCTGCATCTATCCGAGAGGGAACACTGTGTTCTGCCTCTCGCAGCATGCTGCCTGTGGGGCTGCCCAGTCCTGTTTTACCTTGGGTGCCACACTTAAATGCAAGAGTGACCCTAAGTACACTTGCGCCACAGGCACATGTAGAGACACACACAGCTATGAGGAATACCCACAGCACACACACTGCCAAGGGATGAAGAGCTGTGCAGATTGAACTGTGCAGTCAATTGCCCACCTATGGTACAGTTTGTAGTGATTTTCCTCCGCTTTGGATTGTGTCGTAATAATTCTAGCTCCCTCTTGGTCGGCTCCCATGTTGTGTATTTCTCGCCTATGCCTGTGGATATATAAAAAAAAAACACAAATGTGATGACACTGAGATATCAGGTGGCATTTGGAAAGCATTAAGTTGTCAGACAAAAAACAAAACGATATACCTTGCAATTTCCAGGCTTTCCTCTGTTCCTCTTTGGCAATCTGCTCCATGTCTTTGTCGTATATGTAGTCTTGACACACAAAACAATATATTCCGCCGTATAATAAGTCTATCGCTGGAAGCAGGAGGGAGGAAAGAGAGGGAGAAAGAGAGATTGAACCATAATTACAAATAGATTTTTCCACCACAGTAACACACTTTTTTTTTTTTGGTTTATTTTACTGTCCAACCTGGCTGGCACAGTCAGACTGTGTTTTCTCCGCCCTGCATTTTCCACTCACTGCTATATGTTTTCATCTCATTGCTTGCACAGAACAATTATAAGATGTGAGAGGAGCAGCGATGGAATAGGTGTATTTGTCTCCCACCCCCACCTGGGCTTTCAACTAACACACCATCCTCTTCCATTCTAAAACTCCACTGCAACAATACCTCAGCTCTGTTGCCGTGACAACCTATTTTTAGCTTAACCGGACATTTTTCTGTTTTTGGTGCTACCCACACACTGAGAAAGTGAGCTAATACATCATGTAGAAAACCTGACTGGTGTATGCTATGTTGTCATCACAGTGCCATGTTTTTTTTGGTGGTGTGTGTGTGTGGTGTGTGTGGTGTGTGTGTGTGTGTGTGACATGAGAGAACGTATATAGAAATAAATCATGCAGGAAAAGAAATAATTTGAAAGACATGACATCATCTTTCTTTTCTCTGGTAACGGTGTACTCAACCGGATGCTTCTCTGGACATCAGCAACCCGGTTAAGAGAGAAAAATGAGAGCAACACCAAGTGGCAGCGAGAGGAAGAAGATATAGACTGAGTACTGCACAAGGCACATGCAGAAATTCATAACTCTTGCTCACTTGAGTGAAGGACCAAAGCAAAGAATGAGAGGACAGGAAGGTGGAAGAAAGGTAGAAAAAGATGTGAAAGTCGTCCAGAGACTGAGATAGCTAGGAAAAAAAAGGAAAAGGAGATGAGAAAGATGTAAAAGGAGTCCTGAGAAAGGAGCTTGCCATTTAGCAGACAGGGGAGTTTGGATTAATTTGATTAGAGGTGGAGAAGAACAGAGCGCCAGTGTTAGAGAAGCTCCTGTGGAAAGCTCAAAGCTAATTAACACTGTAGCCGTGCACTTGGGGTGTCTGCGCGTGTGTGTGTTTGTGTAAATCTGTTGAAATGCACTGAATCAATTAAAGCCAGACAACTACCAAGCCACCCTTCAGTCTCCCTTGTTTCCATATTTAGTTTTCCTCGTCAGGGTAATATCAAAATCTTTCTCATTAGTGTCATTGTCTTATTTAACATAATTAGCATGTAAGGTTGAAGCTGCACTTTATGGTAGCTGTGGATTAGCGATGTCAACCCCTCCCTTGCTGCTGTATGAAGAGGAGTCTCCTAACTTAAACCCATGACATTTGACTGGATGAGATGCGCTCCCACCAGAATGGTAATGCGCTGCGGTTAGAGAGAGGTTCAGCTCCCTGTCTGCTCAGAAGAGGAAGTTGCCCAAAGTAATGCTGTAATCCTTCACTGATAATAGCTGATGCTGCAGTGGGCCACAAGGGTGCATGTGAATGTGAGCACTGACGTTATGGGACTAAGCCTTGGACATAGGGAGGGACAATATTCTGAGATTACTATTTATTGTACGTTTTTTTCTCCCCCCCACATTGATTTCTTCAACAGTTGTGAGAGCGAGTGTGTGGCTTACCTAGATTGTGTCTCTTGTTTTTCGCGTGCTCGTGGATGTGTTTCTTCGTAAAACAGCCGAAAAAGACGCAGTAGAGACAAGAGTGGAGCCGGTTCAGGTGTGCGCCACACATGTGACAGATACACGACTTGGCCTGGAGAGAAAGACCCAAGGAAGGAAGAAGGGGGTTGGGGGAGGACAACGGGGAAAGGGAATTGAGAGCAAGAAAGGAGAAGACAGTCAGTGTGGTGAGAAAAATTCTCTGCAGCAGGACAGAGCCCTGAGCTATAATGTAGAGTGGCGTAGGTAGAGAGAGTGGAACTCCTGCCAGCTGAATTAGATTTCTATCTTCCAGTCAGTCACACAAACACTTCAGAGGACACGGTGCTTGGATGACGATGATGATTGAAGACGACGGGCTAAAGATTTGCTGGGCCTGTTGACAAATCCAATGCAGCTGAATAACAACATGTTTCAACACTGAATCGTTCCCTCTCTAACACATGCAGGGCATGATGGGATTTAATGCTTGGCAGGCACGCTGGGGAAGGCGAGCAGGATCTGTCTGAAGCGCGCACTAACAGCGGCTGGAGTTTATGTAATTGGTTGGACTACAGCACCAAGAGGTAACCAGAGAAATTGAATATCAGAATGCCTGACATCTTTGGCAAACCTGCAAAAATGAGCCCTGAAGCGGCTACACAGGAGCACAGGGGGTTACAACAACCACGAGAAAGGGGTGCCCGAGAAGTGTTAGCCTTTGGACTGAACAACGAGTGGTAGGCAAGTGTTTATATGTTGAACACTGTCGCACATTCTGAAGAGAACTGTGATACAGATGATGCGTGTGAGTGTAGGCACACATGTACATGAATTTGCATTATGAACACCTCAACCACCACAGCTCTACATATATCTACATGGCTGTAGGCCCACGTACAAGCTGCTAAACCTGGTGCCTTGATTGTGGTGGAGCGGTCTGAGGTGACACTTTCTAAACACCATATTAACAATACAATAGTAGATGGCCAGCTGTTCTACTGGTGACAAAGAAACACAAACATTTGAAGGTGTAAAAAAAGGTAGTAGGAGGAATACTCCCATATTCATTTCATTTCTGACCCTCAGAAATGCAGATGCAATGAATTGGGGGCATTCTTAAAACAGTTAGTACATCAGCAAGTGCTAAATCTTTTAGCAACAATTGCACTCGATGCTTTCACAGCTCTGTTGGTAATGCGAGGGAAAGTAGAGCAGAAAGTAGTCTGCAAGCCCGCTTTGAGAGAGAGAAATTTAATAAAAGAGGAAAGACAGAGCGATGTAATCAAAGCCTTTCAGGGTGCAGACCTGCCGCAATGAGTCGCCCACTCATAGAGAGACGACAGAGGGAAAGGAGGTGTGAAGCAAAGGTGAAGCGAAACAAAATGATAAAGAAACTATTGGTTGGAGAGATTTAGCAGTTTCCAGTTTCTGGTACACAGTGTGAACACACACACACACAC